TAATTTGGTAGAAATTTCGGCAGACGTTTCTAATAGCACAGAATGTGTGGGGATCATACCCGAGGTTTCCAATGTTCAAAATAGTCGTCGTTCTTTTTGGAGGCGAACAAAAAGCTTTTTCCGCCGTAAACATGATATTATATTATGTTGCGCAAATACTTTGTTAAATATTATTTATTTCGTTACATATTGTTTAATTGTATTATAATAGTTGTTAAAAATTGTTTGACGTAAATTTTTTTGTTATGTTATTTAATCGACTATTTTATTTTGATGTATTATCACTATTAATAAACGCAAAAGCACAATTGTAAAATTAATCTTTGTGACTTGTAAAAATTGTGACTATATTGTAAAGATACTTTTGGTGTTATTGTTTTTTTTTTTTTAAATAACTCATTAGAAACCTTGAGTGCAATATTCAAAATTTTCGACAAAGAAACAAGAATATGTAATGGAAAAAAAAAGAAGAAATATACTGCGATATCTTACAAAATGTGATGTATATGATAAAGCTTACTGCCTATTTGTATTCATACATTGTAATCGTTCAGTTTTAAAATGCAAAATTTTTTAAAGTTTAAAATATAATAAAATTATAGCTTTAATGAGAGCTTCCAATTTGTATGTAACAGCCTAGTTTTTGACTTTTTTTTTTTGATAACGAGTTTAAAACTTTTCAATTTGCCCAAGTCTTAAACAAATAACTGCAATGTAAAACTTAATTTTAATATTTTTTTAATAACTGTTATTCTTTGTTGTTAATTTTATATCTTTTTTTATTCTCTTTGTCAGAATGGGTGTTAATTAATTAAATAAATAAGTAATTAAAAACCTGTTGTTGCTATTGTCAACCATAGTGTTGAGATATTAAATATTCGTGTAATAACTGTCCAACTGTTTGTTTTTAGCTTTGTTTCAAAGAGCACATTGAACAGTTCATTCTATTCTCATAACGTATAACTATCGTGAATATATCATAAATAAATCATGCAGAATATTACAACCGATGTCAAGAACACTGTTGCTTCGATTGAAACCATTTTGAAAGAACCATTCAACGGACAATCTACAAAAGTTTTGGGAAGTCGAAAACTCTCAAGTTTAGTGGATAGAACATATTTTAGTTCTAAACATTAAGTTTATGACGACTGGCTGTGATGGTGATAGAGTTGAGCCTGTTGCAGTCTCGGTGTAACAGATTACAAAAACACTTCCCGTAAAATGCCCCAGTGATGGCCACAGCCGCAGAAGTTATAAGATCCAGCCTCCTCATACTCGTCATCGTTGGAACAGGTTTCGGATGAAACTAGCAAAAGCCCGTCGGAACCGAATTTGACGAAGTCTGATGTTTCCGATTCACCTGAAAGAAGATGTATTTCAATGTCTAACATTTCGATAAGCGTGACGCCCGAAACTATCGAAATAGAAGGCACTTTGATAGAAATTTCAGTAGCCATTTATAATAGTACAGCAAGTACAGGGATCATGCCTATGGTTTCCAATATTAAAAATGGTCACCGTTCCTTTTGGAAACGAACAAAATGCTTTTTCCACCGTTTATTATGCTGAGCATAATGTACCTAGCTCATTACTTTATTTACTCCGTTACAATATATTGTTTACTTAAATTATGAAAGCTACTTAAAATTGTGTTTGACGTAAATAAACGTTTTTGTTATATTATTTAATTGGTTAATATTTAATGCATTATCACTATTAATGAACACCAAAATCTAGTTGTAATTTATGCGGTTTGTCCCTTGTGAAAATTGTGACTGTATTGTGCAAATACTCTCGGTGTTTTGGTAACAAACAATGGCATGGGATAATAAAAAATAAAACTACTGCGACATTTGGCGAAGTACCATGTGTATCAAACACATAATTAATTTTTTATATGTAACTAATAAAATAATTAGATTAACTAATTTATAAACTTAATAACATAAGATATGTGCAGTTTTAAATTACACACTGTGTTTCAAGTATAAATAATTAAAATTAAATATATTGTCCTGAAATACTTGAAAAAAATAATCAAGCATGTTTCTGTTTTATTATTTTGTTCTACGACTATTTTTCATATACTTTTTTAGTCTTGATCGAGTAGCTTTAATGAGCTTCTACAATTTATAATCTAAATCGTATGCTAAGGTAATTTATTGATTTTAACTTTATTTTTCATACGAATTTAAATTTTGCTGTTTAGGTTTTGACTAAATAATTGAAATGTAAATGTTGATTTTATAAGTATTTTATAACAATTATTATATTATTTTCATTTTGTATCATTTTATAAACTATTTTGGCCCAAATAGACAATAAATAATAAATTAAAAACCTATTGGTTGCTATTGTCAACCATATAATGTTGAGATATTAAATATTCGTTAGATAGCTGTCCATTGGTTTAAATTTAGTGTTGTTTCAAAGAGCACATCTTACAATTCATTATATTTTCATATCGTTAACCTATCGTAATAATATTTATAAATAAACCATGCAGAATATAACAAATTATGTCAAGATGACTGCAGTGGCTTCAATAATAGACAATATTTCGAATGAATCACACAACGGTCAATCAATAAAAATTTTGGGAAAGCGAGAACTCCCAAGCTTAATAAATAGAACATTTTGTAAATCTATGCTAAATATACACATCACCATGACTGGCTATAATGATGATTCAGTTAAGCTTGACATGGCGAAAAGTGTTAAGTTCCAAACACTTCATCCTTCGTTGACGTTGCAATCGGTTTCGAATGAAACAAACAAAGGTCTGTCTGTGGATGTAGTGAATTCCGATGTCTTCGGTCCACCAGCAAGAAAATGTATTTCATTGCCGAACATTTCGATAAGCACGATGCCTGTAGTTATCAATATAGAGGTACTTCGGAAGAAATTTCGGCAGACGTTTCTAATAGCACAGAATGTATGGGGATCGTACCCGAGGTTTCCAATGTTCAAAATAGTCGTCGTTCCTTTTGGAGGCGAACAAAAAGCTTTTTCCGCCGTAAACATGATGTTATATTATGTTGCGTAAATACTTTGTTAAGTATTATTTGTTTCGTTACATATTGTTTAATTGTATTATAATAGTTGCTAAAAATTGTTTGACGTAAATAAATGTTTTTGTTATGTTATTTAATCGACTATTTTATTTGATGTATTATCACTATTAATAAACGCAAAAGCACAATTATAAAATTAATCTTTATGGCTTGTAAAAATTGTGGCTATATTGTAAAGATACTTTTGGTGCTAGGTTTAGGTTTGGTGCTTTGTCTATAAAATTTACTTAATTCTCTACACATTTATCTTGAGTTATTAGGTCAAATACCTTTAAACGTCTCTTGTGTTAATACGCAATTTTATCACAAATATTCTATACAACTACGATTTATTAAGCATCAAAATTGTTATATCCCCTTCATTGTAATAAATAGAGTGTTAACTATAGACATTTCAAAAGAACATTTTAATTTGAAATTAACAATGTACGTTGTCAATGTTATCATTTTAAAAATGAAATAACTTGATAATATCTCGATTAATATTCAATATTGTAAAAATTTGTTTTTTAAGACTTTTTATTGTCAGTAGAAAATTTTTTTTTAAGAATTTTGTATTAAATTTTCAAATCATAGGTATAAAAATCATAAATAGTTTTATTAATTCTCTACTATGAAATAGTTTTTTTTTTTTTTTTTTAATAAAGGTTGAACAATTATAAAGTACCTTGTATTAAATTTCCAAACTTTTTGTCTAAGTGGAGAATTTTTTATTGACATTTATAGACAAAAAACTAAAAAAAAAAAAGTAACGAAAATTTCAATTGTTCAAAAGGTGTCAAAATATAGAGAATAATAGCGACATATCATTTTGGCGGACATTTCAAGGTATTACGTCAGCAGAGTTATCATAAAATCAAGAAGTACATTTTGTTGAAAACTGATTTAGCATTAAGATTCCCATAAAACAACACATATTGTTGTAAAACTAATGCATTGATTGCTTCGTTAAAAATCTAAAACATATCAGTACATCACGAATTGTTTTTAACGGTTATGTAGACAAACAGATCATATTTGAATATTTCTATTGACTTTTGAACTTTACACGGTAACATGCACGATTTTAATTTCACTATACATGCTATGTACATTAATAAGTATATCTATCGTTACTGCAGGGGCGTAGCGGCTCAACAATTCTTACCGGGTAAACAGATATTTTCAGGCCACATAAATGTATTTCAGATAATTTTTTTCAATTTGAATTTCTTACCATTTCTTGTTTAATTGGTAGATGTGTACTATCCATTTTTTTGATTGGGAGAATTAATATAAAACAATTTATTTGGCCCACATGTCGGTAGAAGCTATATTTTATCAATTTATTATCATATACATTTTACATTCTTTCTATCTTCTTTTATAAAATTGAAAACAGCGTGTCAACCATAAAAATAATGTTTGACCATTATATCAAGCAGTAGGTATATGAACCATAAGACTCCATTTAATTATTCTAATTAATCTCATAATTGTACTCAGGTATTATTTTATATATACGAGTAAACTAATATTTTTATATCACGATAAAAATTTATATATATTGAAAAACACTTTAGCTTCTTGTTTTAGAAAGTTTACTTAATAATGTTTTGCAATAATAATTTTTTTGGATCAACAAAATATTGATTAAGTACTTTCATCACACCAGGACCAGGCCGTTTCTTACAAAGCAAGCCAGGCCACCGGGCGTTGTTCCGGTTGCCCCGTGGGCCACTCCGCCTCACGATAGTATCGCGCATTATATGTATTATTATGCCTACGTAATTGTTACCGTGATTTAGGTACCTGCTATGTACCTATATCATAATATCAAGTTTGACGGAAAATCGTACAAAATATTATAAATAAATGTATGTCATTACGTATTTATTTGTTTTTAGCAGTTACTTTAAACACAGTAAGTATAAAGTATAATAATATATTATTATATTATGTATTGTGTATTAAATAGTAGTAATATAATTATTATGATGTGATGACGTTCAGCGGCGGTCGTCGTAAGACGGCGGCGGCGGCGGTGGTAGCGCTGCGCCGCCGAACGGACTGCGGTCGATGCTCCCGCCGCCGCCGGACCGGCCGAACCGGACTTCCAGCCCGTCCACGTCTACGTCGTAGTGGCGTCTGGGTATTTTGTTGTCGCCGGGCGTGTACACTTCGCCCCGGCCGAACCGGATGAAGTTGGAGTCCCGGCGGCCGAACCTGATGAAGTTGGAGTCGACGCGCCGGCCGACCGCCGACGACGGGTCGAGGCGCTTGTCCACCGCCGCCGCCGATGCCTGCAACGGTGCCGTCCAACTGCAGTCGAAGGCCCGCCCGAACCGCATAAAGTTCTTGTCCATGGCGCTGCGCCTGGTCAACGGGTCCACGGGCCGCAGGGCGAACCGCTTGTCCACGGCGGCCGCGTCGGCCACCCCGTCGGTGACCAACGCGGCCAACGTCAACGTCACCGGCAACAGAAACAAAAGCATTATTGCACCTGCGACACACAAACGAAACAGCAGACGTGAGCCGAAGCCGTTAATTAAAGGTTAAAAGGTAAAAATTAAAGGTTTGTTTATGCGCGTGGTTTCGACGTATGAACGTTTCGCGACGGTCGGTCAAATCGGCTGCACGCGGTAACCATACATATATACGTATATGGTTAATGGTTATATTGTTTATACCATGTGCACGACAAAATATGTCGAGCCGAATTTTTCCGTCGATACCGTAGTAAACGGTAATGCACGGTTAATCGCGTTTAACCACTTTGGTACAGGTATATCAAAAGCTCGCCACGCATAGGCAGAGATTGGGAGGTGCTTGGAGGGACCGTAACGTCCCCTCTTCACCGAGTAGTGGCGGACCTTTCGTTCGCCATACCGATGGAGTTATGTTTTTATTAACGAGGTCTCGGCGACTCGACCTCGGTGTGTAATACATATTAATATACTAGAGATCGTTACAGGACTTAGCCCCCAAAAAAATCGAAAGCCCCCCAAAATCATTGAACATTTTTCAAATTATTAAATAGGTACCTATTTTGCAAGAATGCAAAAAAAGATTTAAGCCCTCCCCCCCCCTAAAATTCAATCAAATATCCGCTTATGTCGCCACGGATATCATCCGATTACAGCAAAAGATTCTTAAGCGCGTATACGAGAACGTGAATAGTGTAAGCCGCCCTGCTTAACATTGAATTATGTCCCTGTACACGATAACTGAAACAAAATATTGAACACGTTAAAATAATTTTTTTAATTCAATTATGATTTATAAAAAATAAGAATGCAACCAAAGTTTCAGTAGATTACTTCTATCGTTTGACATGATATTTTTTGTTCATTATTTAAGTGTTTATAAATTTTAATTTATTAAACACTTAAATGTATATGTATAAAACTCACCAAAAACCCTAGATTTGGCCAACCTTCTTCTCCGATGTTTTGTTTAAAATGTTTTTTATAAATCAATAACTGCAAACTTATAACTGTATTTTTTTTTTTTAATTATTATAATAAACATTTTTTGGTTGCCGTAAAAATTATATAACACTGAATAATGTTTTTTTTATTTACAATAAAGAGATTAAATAAAAAAAAGTGTTTTACATTTTTAGTTATAAATAAATAATAACGAATTAAACGAATTATTTATTTAAATAACAGGAAATAAATATGTTTAGTTAAAACAGCCTTTTTCTGCTTTTTTTTTCTGAATAACTGCAGTTATGGTTATTTATTTTTACAAGTATTTTTATTTAGTGTAATAATTTCAGCTAGTGTGGGCAGATTGTTACAAATTTTTATACTACTATGAAAACATAAAATAAATAGAACATATTTTTCCTTTAAATGAAATAATATGTTGAGCATGTAACGTGCTAACCATTAAATTATTGTTTTTATTCGAAGTTTATTCTTAAAACTCGTAAAAAACAGACCCGATTCTTGTTAGTAAATACTGTGCCAATACTCCCTTATATACCTACGTTTAAAAAGTATATTGCACATTTTTAATATACAGCTATTGAGCTATCGACATACTACAGTAAGTCGTCATAATTGGCATTTACAAATAACCCACTGGCATAGTAGCATACTTAGAACGCATTATTCTTAAACATATTATTTATGCACTTATGCTTTTATCATCTAGAAAATACAGACAATATACAGTGAAACTGTCTAATGCGGAATAGCATGGGACCAATCGAAAATTCCGTTTTAAGCAGTTTTCCGCTTTATTGAATAAAATGGAAAAATTCTGGATTATAAATTCGTGTTAGTTTTTTACATTAAAAAATTAGTTTACAATATATTTTATAATTTTTATTTTTTGAGTTAGAGACTAATTATAAACTTAATTTACATAACTTATTTTAGATTAATTATAGACTTATTTTCTTTTGAAATTATTAATAATTTATACATATTACATAAGTATGAAGGTTGGGAATTAAATTTAAACATTTAGCTTTTCCAAAAATTATGTAGGATTTTTGTTTTATCACTGTTGTTGCTATTTTCCCAATATTATATGTATTTGAATGGACATCACTTAGTAGTATGTACAAGCAAACTGTCCAGTGTAAGATTGTTGGTGCATGACTGTTTCACAGCTATACATTAAACATACGTAATAAGTTTGTATCGCAGATACGATAACCAAAAAATAAAAATTACTCAACCAATATAATATAGTGCAGTTTTGTTTTAATTATCGTTTTACGATGTACTTACATATTCATATTAACGTAACACGACGCTTGTCATATTTCCGGCTTTGCAAGGTTTTTGCTTGCATTGGACCTACAAAACCGTTCCGTTTCCGTGTTAGGAAAGTTCTGTTTTATTGAGGTTCAACGTCTATATAAAACAATAAGAACATGCCGGGACCATAGAAAAATTCCAAATTGGATAGTTTTCAGTTTTATTCAGAGTCTGTATACACAGTTTTTACTGTATCACAATATCACCTAATCTTATTGGGTACACAATTTTCTTATCTAAATAATCTCTAAAGTCTATATATCGTATACCAGCTCTCTTGTTGAATACAATAATTACTAATTACTTTTAAGATGTAAATATGACTGATATTACATATTTTTTTGCCCGTATTAAGTATTTATTTATCTAAGACAGTGCATTTTTAGGTAGTATACATTTTACTTGGTATGAATTATTATTATCAAAACTAAATGTCATAAATAATAATTCACTACGTATATATATAATAGAATTTATATAGTAAAATTTACCTTTTATTGCAAATTTATTAAGGTCGATAAATTGTTGTCAGATTAAAAATAAGTATTTTTTATTTTGATTAATTTAGGAATTTTTAATTCTTGAAGAATTACCGAATGATTAATATTCTTAAAAAATAAGTGATTTAGATTCATTTTCATTATGAGTTTTTTTTTTTTTTAATCAGTTCCCAACAAGAATGATTAGACTTAGATTGTAAATAATGGTCGTATTTTTTCTCTATTATATAAATCATGATTTATTACTGTATACATTTTTCTGCATTTATTATTATATATACAAAGAATGATTTTTTGAAATAATACAGATTAACTGCTATATTATTTTTTATAGTTCGATTTCACGTTCAGTAGCCTTTTCAGCAAGTATATTTATTGACAATTTTGTTTTCTAGTTACAATGTATATTATACTCTGGGATAAAATTATTATAATGCCTAGTTATTGTTTTATTCGTCTATTGAATCAAGTGCCGTATAACACACCGTAAAATAGTAATAATAATGATAATCTTTCTACGTATTACTATAAAAACGCGAGACGTGATACATGTATTGTGTATACCTACGTCATACGTGAAAGTATATTGTCATACACCACGAAATATCGTAAGCCCCCGAAGGGTGTATTATATAATATTACGTCGAATAGTTTTAACGGAATAAAATGTTGAGCCAAATCTCCCTCCTTAAACTTTTATGACTGTATCAAGGGGCAGTAAACTTATTAAACGAACCACCTGTATCTAAACGTACGATAATTAACAATAAAATAATAAGATATTGATATTAGGTATTTAATATACCCACGAGGTCATTATCCATGGATGATACGCTATGCGTATTATTATTATATTAAACAACAGTAATAGTAATAATATTCAGTGATGTGGTCGTAATTTTTTTAACAAGTATACCTACCTACCTTTAAATGGGTTTAATAGTTAGTGTAGGAAGAGCCGAGGGATGTACTTATCCCTTTGTATTATGTAATTTTTATTTTCATATTTATAATTACACAGGTAGACTAGACTATAAACTATTCTGTTTCAATATTGCAGAGACTCTACAATTATAGTCCCAAAAATAAATTATTGTAAAACATTTAAATATTTTATGATTTTATCGTAACACTTAGAAATAAATAACAGTGAGTAATTAAGTAATATAATTTAAATTTTAACAAAATATTCATACAGGTTATTTTAAATTTAAATTATACAAATTATTAATTAATAAAAACAAGAAATAAGATAATAGAAAAATATTAAAAAACAAAAAAAATAAAATATATTTCATTTTTTTTTAGATCACTGTTGAGGTACCTACTAATTTATCAAATTGATTTATAAACAGGATGTATTCGTATTTCGTATACCTCCGCATATCATATATTATTTTATATTTCTATCAGTATACGAACCAATAGAAAAAAACAGGGATAGATATCACAGATTTCTATATTTTTTTTTTAAACATACTTGTTTGCTTTATAGCAGTCACGCCATCCAATATCAAAATTATATATTGTTATAGCAGTAGTGCCAGTAGTGTCCAACGTCCGTCAATATGTTAAATGGCAATTATCACATTATGAATAATACATATAATATAATCTTGAGAACATTTTACGATAAAAACTAAATACCTACTCATACCTAGTAACATATAACCGTTTGGAAGAGATTCCGGTTAAATCAAAATATGATAAACAACATTTAAATTTAATTTTTAGCTTTTATGTTAAATTTTTATAAAATTTAAAATTATGAAAAAAAAAAAATACTTAATTCGTAAATAATAAACTATAAGTAAATAAAATATAATACATTTAAACCATATTTAGCTTAAACCAATTAAATATACGTGATAATAATATACAAAGCATCTCTTTATTTATGACAACAAACCCCAATCCACTATTTGCAGGTAACTAATTAATTGTAAAGTTATTATACAATAATCGAATATAACACATCAAAATATTCGTTAATTCACTATAATCATTAGCGGAGTCAACAATAATAGCGTTACACGTAAATAAATAAAATGGCAAATATTAAATGCGTTTAGATGCGGTAAAAAGATCAATCCGAGTCATAAGACTTACTATTATTTCGTCTCAGAATTTGCTGTGCAACTGTATTACACGATCAGCAGCTCGCCCAGATGGAAAACGATTATTTATATTAATAATTTTTATCATGACGTATGGCGGTGGAGAAC